GCTTCTGCATCAGCACATGGGGAGGGGAAGGGTCAGACAGGTTATCACTGTGAAGGTTCTCCCAGTTAACAACCAGGGCTGGTTGCTATCAGGTCCTGTAGCAGGCCCAGGGACTCCCGCTGGCTTCTCACAGGGAGGTGGATCAAGTTCACTTCCATTTTTTTTTTTTTTGCTTAAATATAAAGCTTTAGAGCTGCTGTTACCTGGCTTCCTAATGACCCTTTTCTGAAGCTGCTTTGCTCTGTGATACTTCAGCTCCCTGTTGGCTGACCTGGATAAGGGCATGCTGAAAAACAAATGTATTTATCATTAGACCCTATTTATGTCTGGTAACAAGCAACTTTCCACATCCTGCTCCAGCCTAGACTTGAAGGATGTTCCTCTCTGCTCCTCTTTAAGGGTTAATTCTATTTATAGGAGTAACTGGTAGGATCCCATGAGCAGGGAAGCACATCAGGTGAGCCTTGCTGTGCACTGAGAGCCATCACAAAGCCAGTGATGACAAGATTGCTGAGAGGAATCTGTGCATCACAGTCTAAGTTATTGATTAGTTGAGTTGAGACCAGCAAGGACGGTGCTCACATTGCTCCCCTTTGGGTTTTATTTCCCTGCCAATGTGCTTTGCTCTCAGGTTTGTACCCAGAAACCAAATACTGCTTTTCTTTGCAGAGCATACACAGGACTATTCCCACTTATTTATTAAGTTACAAGCACTAAGTCTCATACTGGTCACTTCCTGAAAGTAAGAGCAGCATGCACCTCAGTTTTGACCCAAGTCCATGAGGTTTCAGTTGCAGAAAAAGCCCATCTGCCCCAATTCCTATCCAAGGCAGCCAGAAGGGGGGGGCTCATGCCCTTAAAGCCTCTTTCCCAGACCCTATTCCCAGGTGCTTTCCCCACTGCATTGGGAGGTAGGAGGCAATCCACATGGATGGACCCAAGTGCCCAGGAAGCCTGAAGCCCAGTGGATGGGCACAGCAAGACCCACACGCTGCAGCACGTTCTGGAGGACAGGGGGTGGGTAAAAGGGGTGGGCAAAAGGGGTGGGCAAGGCAAGAACATGCTGTGGGATATCAAAGAATTTGCATCATGTCGATGCAGGCATCTGATGGCTTCTGTTGTCCTTGTGCCACGCAATGACAGTTGTGTAATTTTGCAATAAAATTTTTTTCAATGAACCTCTGGCAACCACAGTCAGTTGCATGGTCTGGGTGAAGACAAAAGTCCTGAAGAGAGGTTCCTTCCTTGCCATCGTGAAATCTAATACACTTTTAACCCACGAGGCTCAAAAAGGCCAAGGGCAAGGTCCTACACATGGGTCAGGGCAAGTTGGGCTTGTTCCAAATATTTATGGTAACAAAACTCATCTGTCAACATTTTTTCTGTGTTTTTTTTTTTTTTTTCCAAATTTGTATTAAAAAAATTAACATTAGTATGCATTACTTTAACACTTATCACACAATAACTTTTTTTGTGAAGCTTTCCACTGAAAGATGTGCACAGAAACCTAAAATCTGGCTCACTCTGACACCCTGAGAAGACCCATCTATTTCAGCCAGACTCGAGCACTTCCCAGGCTGCCAGAGAAGCTGGGAACAGGATGACCAAGGCTGACGCCTCCTCACATGCTGCCAGACAGACACATTCCTGACACTAAAAACTCCAGTCATAAATTCTTCTTCTCTGCCTAATTCCACAGAGAAGCTTCCTGAAAAATGGAAACCTGGATGTAAAAGTTGTTCCTAAGCAGCAGCTTTTGCAGATCTATACAATTTTTGTTGGTGACAGAGGTTCTGAATTTCTTGACATCTCAACAGAACAAAACCTTGGTCCTGAACACATTATCTTTTACAACAGGCATAGAATACCTTCCCATTAGTGCATCTGACTTTGAAAAAAAAAAATGGGAAAGGAGCCAACAGAGCTAAAATTTCTGCCTGAAACTCACCCCAAAGCTCAGTCTTGCTGCTTCAGGGCTTTGGATTGACCCCAGCAGGCAAAAGCAATATTAAAATTATTTATGCAGCAAAAATAGAAGTGGAAACATCCCTGTTTACAGACCCTCTGCTGCAACACCATAAGAAGCTCGGTCATCTATGGAATCATTGAGTCCAACTGTTCCCCCAGCACTGCCAGGTCCCCACTGACCCATGTCCCTCAGCATCACATCTCCATGGCTTGGAAACCCCTCCAGGGATGGGGACTCCATCACTGCCCTGGGCAGCCTGGCACAGCCCTGGACAGCCCTCAAGAGAAAAATTGTTACCAATATCCAACCTGAATTGCCCCTGGGGCAACTTGGGGTCATTTCCTCTTGTCCTGTCCCGTTTCTTGGGAGAAGAGCCCAACCCCCACCTGGCTCCAGCCTCCTGTCAGGGAGCTGTGGAGAGCCAGGTCTCCCCTGAGCCTCCTTTGCCCCAGGCTCAGCACCCCCAGCTCCCTCAGCTGCTCCTCACCACACTTGGGCTCTAGACCCTTTCCCAGCATTGTTGCTCTTCTCTGGCCACTTTCCAGCCCCTCAAGGTCCTTAAGGGAGGGAGGGGCCCAAAACTGATGCCAGCATTCGAGGAGCAGCCTCCCCGTTGCAGGCAGACAATCCCTGCCCTGCTCCTGCTGGCCACACTGGTGCTGACCCAAGCCAGGATGCTGGTGGCCTTCTTGGCCACCTGGGCACACGCTGCCTCATCTCCAGCCGCCTGTCCACCCGCTCCCCCAGGTCCTTTCCCTGGGGCACTTTCCAGCCCCTCTGCCCCAGCCTGGAGCACTGCAGGGGGTGGTTGTGACCCAAGGGCAGGACCCGGCCCTTGGCCTGGTTGAACCTTATGCCATTGGCCTTGGCCCATCCATCCAGCCTGGCCAGGTCCCTCTGTGTCCCATTACCCTACAGCTTATTAAAGCCAATTATGAACACAGCAATAATTTAACAGGACTGTTTACTCCAGGCAGACAATATTTTCCCCTAACCACTTAAATATATTTCCATCTCAAAACTGAGGACAGAAGGTTTGAAATCCAGAGTGCACTTTTATGTTTCCCCCCAAAACTGATGTGCAAATGCCTACTCAGAAAACTGGTTCACCTTTCATGTCCACCAGCCTGACCCTGACAGGAGCTGTGACCCTCAAAGTCACATAGTGAACATCTTCTCAAACAAGGGAAATGGACGGAGAGGTGAAAAAAAGAATAAATTATTTAGGATACAGTAATATTTTAGTTGAAGCATATCAACTACTGGAACTGCTTTGGACATGGCCAACAAAGCTCCCCCTCCTGGAAACCTCGGAGAAAAGGACTGGAACGTCACTGGAGAGTTACCAGTGCTACTCCAGCTCATGGGGTGTTACTTGTCACCCTCTAGAGCACCAAATGGCTGCTACAGCTCTACCTAGAAGCCAGCATTTTGTCCCTGCTTGGTTTAGATCAGGATCTGGGAAGTTCACTCCCAAAGGGCAACACGAGCTGGTGGAAGCACAGCAGAATTCCTTCCATACCAGAGGTGTGAGCAAGGCCTTCCTGGAACACATCCTGCAGAAAGAAAGCACCTCCACAAACACCGTCTTTTTTGATTTTATTTAAGAGATGTTTTCAGGACAGTCAGGCTTCTGGCTGCACGTGTTAAAAATCCTGCAACGAAAAACAAAACACAAAGTGAGGTGGTACCAAAACCATTGCCCGTTACCCATTCTGCTACCCCAAAACCCTGAACAGCGTGCCAATTTTCACATTCAATGGCCTCTGTTGCTTCTTGCACCTTGGCCAGTCGCCACCCTTTTCCCCTCAGGAGCAGATCTCGCTGCTCAGATTCCCTTGTTTCACTGTAGCCCTGCAAACTCTCTCCCTGGCTCACACAGGGCTAGCTTCGGCCAGAGAAGGCCACCACGGGGCTGGCACCACTAGCCAAGCAACACTTTCAAGCTACCCATTTCCATCTCAGATGGTACTCAACCAGGGAAGTGGGATTTCAAACCCTATCTGATTATTGTGTCCAGTTGTGGTTTACCCAGTTCAGTAGAGACAGGGAACTACTGGAGAGAGTCCAGCAAAAGCTACAAAGCTGCTGAGGGAACTGGAGCATCTCTTTGCCCAGGACAGGCTGAGAGACCTGGGGCTTGTCAGCCAGGCGAAGACAACTCAGAGGGGATCTTCTCAATAGGCAAAGGGTATGTAAGGGTCAAGAGGCTGGGGCCAGACTCTTGTCAGTGGTGCCCAGTCACAG